GACCTTAACAGCCTTTCTGCAGGGTTTAAATTAGTGAGACAAACATTGTCTAGCCAGAGCAGGGCTGGATATTACCGTATGTCTTTCTATATTCTCTTTTTATTTGCATAGATAATAAAATGCAGACTGAGTGAAATCCATCAATCTCCGTTTATTTGACTGGACTGTCTAGTTTTTCACACTACACTGAGCTGCAGAAAGGACTGTGGACTCTGATCTGACATTTGGGATAGCAACATTAGAAGGCTTCAGAAGAAGACATGCTATTTACTTTAACAGCTATTTAATTATGAACCAAACCCAGTGAGACATTTATGGTTCACAGGAACCTAAAAGAGATTATACATGAGATTATACATGATTAAAGCAATTATGTATTCCTGAACTATAACAATAAAACCAGAATCAGAGGTGAGAATCAACAGCTCTGATTCTGGTGTACTCTATCTGTGACCTGAAAAACTGGTGGAGTTTGATGAAGCTGTGACTCCAAGGTTAGACACACGAGGTGCTCATAAGCATGAATATGATTAGAGCTCTTATATCGGTCGCTATTACGCTTTAATTTGGGTTAAGGTGAAGCATGAAGCATGGGCGATTTTAGTTTATCAGTTTTAGGGGTGCAGCAGGGATGGACTGTGAACACATTTTGTATAAAGCTGGTGTAATGTATTGTAATCACATTTTGCACAGAAAAAAAGGCCCATATAATGAACTAATCATTGAATAATTGTTGAGCCAGCTCAAGCTTGAATTATTACGCATGATAAAACCATCAGCGTCCTGGGTGTTTTTGCAATGTTGTTTATTTATATTGTTTTCTGACGTTTATGGTTTTTTTAAATTAATTTTGGTTTATTATTCTTATGCTTGCTGCTGCTCTACCTCACTCATGATCATGATCATTTAAAAAGCATAAAGTTTACTTAAAAAAAAAAAAAAAAAATCCAAATCCATTCAACTATGACTTCCTTATGGTGAGGTTTATCTTTTTGGACACATTTCAATCAGTAAAATATACTAGTTACCTCCATAATTAGCATTTTATGCATTAATAGTTTGTGGTAGTTTTGCTTTTTAGTTCTTACATGCTTAAAGTCAGATCTGTTTATGTTATTTGATGTAAAAAAAAAAAGTCACATAAAGGGTTCATAATGGGCACAGATTGAGGGGCTATCTAGTTTAATGTAGTTGATGTTTAAAACGGAGTGAAAATACACCAACAATGTTCAGGAAGTTTCCTTGGCAGCATCTCATGTTTAGAGAGACAAAGAAGGTGAATATAGAATGAATACCTGCTAAATCTGAAAGTTGTCTG